GCTTACCGAAAATCAAAATTATACGGTATAATATGCATTGCTGTACTTATAAGAGCCGTCAAAAAGCCAAAATCTCGCTCAAAACGGTGGTCAAGTCATCATTTTCACGAATGATCCGCCATATATTGCACAATTTTGCGTTACTTATTGCACAAACCGTGCGTTATTTTCACATTCCGGCGTTACTGGATATACCGTGTGTTATTTACAAGTGACATTCACAGGGACGCTGATCATTTCCGCTACACTAGTCTAGTTTAATCAGGATGATAACGCTTTATCAGAAATTCGTGATTACTTTATAGGCGGGGCTTAGTACGTATGCTAAGTGTTCTGTCCCATGATCCAAATTATCGAATAAATTTTTTTCAGTAGATCTATACAATAATTGTTTTAAATTATACAATATATATTTTTATCAGTTATACCGTTATACCAGACATCAAAATCCGTATTGCAGTGTTGTCCTATAGCCCCAGACTACTAAATTTCACCTCGGGCTACCAACTTTTCACAGTAACATGCCCGACCAGGCTACTGCATTTTCAGAGGCAATATAAACAACTGTTTTGAACAAATGAATCGTGCTATAGTCTGTCCCATTAAAAATGGAAATGAACTTTTGACTGGTATGAATTAACAAAATGACGTTGAATAAAAAATAAAACTTTTTTGTAAACTAAAAAAAAGTCACCCTCGAGATATTTCAGGATTTTACTCTTAAGTGTCTACTTTTCTTGTGAAAGCAAATTTTGATATCTCTATGGCAAATCTCTGTTGTTTATTTTCCGTAGCCATTGCCGAAGTACTCTTCATTTGAAGATGAACGGGAGAAAGCACGTGTAATGTTTCTAAAATATACATGAGGTTCTCGGGGTCGTTTCATGATTATTTTAAAAAAGCTGGATCTACAAGATGTCAAAGTTTAGTTACAATGCACGATGGAAAACTTTAAAAAAATGAAAAATAAGCAACAAGAACACCGAGTCACATGGAGTAGATCTAGAAATTGCACTTACTTTTAAGATGAATAGAATTCCTACTGTATGAACTTTATAAACGTCACTACAAATTCGCATTTTGAAGATTCCTTCATTGCCAGTTTCTATCCAGTTCCGTAGATCCCACTTTTTAGCTTCAAAAATTCTGAATGACATGACTCCTACACTTTTGATGATCCAGATTTTTTAAACAGATAATCCGTTTCATTATTAAAACATTGTTCAATTGTGGATTTATCTGGGTTAGCAAATGAAATATGTAAATGAAACACATCATAATTCAGCATGTTCCAAATCCATAATTCAAGAACGGCCCATCAATTTTAGTTGTCAACATCATGTAATGTTTATGGATTCCTGACGAAAAAACTTTATTACGTCAACAATTTACGCAATATATGACGTAACAAAAATGCCTCGCGCTTTATATGGATGATTCCAGTTGCGGCATTGACAGAGGGCGGTTAGGCATATGTAACCTCAAACAGATAATTTTAAGCGTTGAGATAAACTTGCCTTGATGACATTTAAAATAATTTTTGTATACCCAGATTTTGCAACTTAACTGTAAAAATTACACCTTCAATTCATATTAATAATATAAAAAACTTTCGATACTATTTAAAAATAATTTTAAACAAACTTAATGACATGAATCTACAACAGTGCAATACTTCTTCCATTAATTACATAATTATAATATTCGTTTTGATTTTATATTTTTAAACTATTTGATATATTTCTCAGAAATAATTTCCCTACATATTACCTCGTTGTTCAAGACTTCTGAAAATCCTACTCTTTTAGCTACAAAATATACAATACGCGGTATTTTTCTCCCGCGAAAAAATATGCTAGATCTATTGTTTTTTTTTCACTGAATTTTTTCAAATTTTAGGAAAGCTAAAATTATTAAGAACGTCACTCGCTGTTTCTCTTTGACTCGATCTACCCTTCATATTAACAAAATCATTATATGTAACACTTTGAGTCTACAAAAAAACACGTATTGTCGCCAACTCAAACTTACTCTTACTAATTTCAAATCACTGCCGGTATTTCTGGACATTTTGTTGAATTGTGAGACGGAAGGTTAAATCTGTATTTACGAACTTAAAGTGATTGCTTAAACTAGAAAGCAATATGTTATATTCTTATAATGCACATTTTCCTTTAACGCGAGTCTGTGTTCTCTCGTTAGCGCACGAACATCGCACCCGAAATAAGAAGGGTAACATATTTTTGTATCCGTCAATTTATTTACTTTTGAATAGACGTGGTACACACTTATGGACAGAATTCAGACAACTACAGAATTATGTAAATTAAACATTAAATAGCGAAGAACCATTTTTATAGTCTCCTAGCTAGTGTTCCCGTTCCCCTACGACGCGTTGCGGTATTCAAGATACGCGCTTGATTGAAAAGCTATCTAATCAAATCACTTCATTGTTCTTTTTTCTCTTAAAAATATAAATTACGACATCATATCATGGTAATTAATTAAATCTTTGTGTTTAATTATTTATAAAGCTTACTGATATTTTCACTTCAAATGATTTTGATTATTTTAAAATTTAATAATGGTTTGCTAGTAAAATTGCCTTTTTGACACCAACTTTGTTGTCATTTTTCATTTTAATGAGAACATTTAACTATTGATCAGGAAGTAAATAATAATATATATTTTTTTTAAATTACCGAGTACATTTCACGCTAATTGTGAGACGAACCCTAAATGACGTCTATATGGGCGCCGCCATTTTGAAATGGACGTCACGTCAGGTTACAACGTAAGTCAACGGGAAAAAAATATAATTTTAACATTTTGACTATATTACTGACTTTATGAAAAAAATGAAAAACATGCCTAGAGATATTGACGTCAGGGTCAACATGACATTAATGTAAATGATTTTACTATTATATTAAATAAAAAATGAAATGTTCAAATTTGATGGGACAGACTATAGTGAAATGTTTTTTGGGATAGTTATTATTCCAATCTGGTTGTCAGACCAGCCTAGTCGATTCAAATCCTAATTTCTTACACTGGTATTGTATACTTCAGAATCCGATAATTACCGCCAAATAATTAACAGTCATCGAATATTTGAAAATATATACGTTTTAATTATTGCATGAAACAATGCAATTCTGGCGTAAAACTGGTATCTGCATAAAATAATATTCTGCCGCGCTATCGAAAAAATATATAATTTAGTTGAAATTAATATTCCTGTCGTTACATTATAGTTTACGTTTAATTGCCTTTCAGTTCGATAAAATATAAACAAAAAGATATTTTATTAGTTTTCTTTATGCATCTAATACGATTCCCGATCCCTACCGTCATACCGTTTTGGTAACCTGTGCGACGGAAATCGACGGAATATAACAAAGACGACGATTACCACTATTTATTTCAATAAATGTGCCTCTTAAGCATAAATCTATTTTGTGATGTTCAACCTAAACTAAACTATTGAACATTGACAGAAAAGGCCAAGTTTAACCCTTTACCAAGAAAAAATGAAAAGGTTTTGAAAACTTATTCTTTAATGTGTAAATTATGAGTATACAGACCTTTCGAATGATTTACAATAGGAAACTGATTAATGAAAGATAACTTTGTAATTATTTATACATTTGCGTCTTATCAGCCGCCATACCTTTTGCCAACTATTCACAAGTGACTTGTATGTCTTAGGCCGTGTCTACACCTATTCAAGTTTCTTACATGTCACATTTAGATAAGCTAAATAAATGGCCCTTTCAATATTTAATCAGGCACAATTTTTACTGGAATGTCTAATTAAGATTGTCCAGGATTTATACCTTTGTCTTTGCAATGCTATCATGTTTCTGTAAAATATGTGAATAAAAAAGCGGGAAAATGATGCAATTAGCTAAAAACAATGGAGTAAATGAAATTGAAATGTGTACATTCTTTTAAAATAATGGAAAATGTGAGAAAAATATTTTTTGAGCTGATAAATTGATGCAAGTTCTTTATTTGATGAAAGTTATTCACTAAATGAACACAATCATTTAAAATCTATTTTGACTACTTGAAAAAACTTTTTTTTTTGCTCTTCTGTGTATCAGTTTATTGATATGATTCTCTGACCAAGATATTTTATACATTTATTAAAATTTACAGATCATGAACTCTGAATCAGTAACAAAAAAGTCAGAAAATAATAAAAAAAACAACACTATCACACCTTCGGGGCACATGTTTTGTGTCAAACCGGTGTTATCAGTGTCTTGACAGCCAAAAACTTGTAGAAAAATAGAACGTGTTCTAACTTTCTTGCAAGGAATTATCTTCTTGAATGTCACATAATTTCTCTTTAAAACTCATTCAAGTAGGGTGTCTACACTATCCAATACAAGAGAATATGATACTTGCATTCAAGACTTGGATAGGTGTAGACGGGCACTTATCAGCAATCTGTTACTATTAATAGAGTTTATAACAATAACATACAACGTGTAGTCGCGTGATTCTTGCAAGAGCACAGGGAGAATCTGTTTATAATAAGATAAAATAATGAAATATAATAGGTCTCATAAGATATAAACAACCAAATAATTTAAATGTGACATTTCAAATATCATTCATGATTTATCAATCATAAAATAGCAACGCTTGACACTTAGAAAAAGTAAAAGCTTCCCTAAATTCAATGACTGGTCCATAGGGATACGTTATTAATTCATTTTATGAAAATTGTAATGTTGCTTTTTAACATGTCAATATTTGTATATTTCATTTAATTTAGAACGTTACTTTATGTTTGAATTTTTAAGATTATGAAAAATGATTGTGGTCCTTATATAAGTTAATTGTTCAGTAATTGATTTGCTTTTATATTCAGATTTTAAGGTCTTCTCCTACCATAGATATAATATTAAACTGTTACAAATATAGTTGCCGGTTTCTACCGGCGACTAATAAGTGACTGAAGATATTGCAACAAAATAATGGATTACCTCTTTTCTTTCAAATCTGAACTTTTTAACTGCTCCATTTTCCATCATGTGAACATACTTAATATGCGGAACGTGATGATTTCTTTTTAGATTTTGAAAATGTTCATGCAATTCATCTGTTGATACGTCAACATCTAATTGGTCAGGAAACTGGTCGATATACCTTCTTTGTCGTTTATCTGTATCTACAACCTTCACCTGAACTGAAAAGTAGTACTAAAAGTAGTGGATGTACAATCACTCTATGGCACAATGGGCACACATAATTCATTTTCCATAAGTATTTCTTACAAATATTAATAAAAACAATAAATGTATCATTTTGATTAAATATATATATCCTTAAAAAATTGATAGCCTTCAGAGTTATTTATTATGGATATTGATATGATTAAATAATGATATTTTGTTCTAGAACAATTTATTATCTACTACATATTGAAATGTCATTTGTGATCATGTTAGTTACTCACACTAAACCAAGGACATCCATAAGTAATTTTTCACGGGTTGTTGTCACATATTATACCAAATGCTATCAACATAACTATTCATCGTTTACAGACATTTTATTGTGGACCAAATCACTTAATTAAATAATCAAAGCACAGAAAGCGCTGAAATTGTTAGGGTCTCAGAATGTCAGAATGGTGAAGGTTGTGAGATTATAAACCAATTTGTTTTTGTGTAGTGCCAGCAATGCTGTTTCCAGTGTTACCCAAACAAATAAAAACTAGAAATTGTCACAAGTGCCGAATACCCCCTCCCACACACACGAAATTGTCACAAGTGCCAAATATCCCCTCCCACACCACACACACACACACCATGCGCGCGCGTGCTTGTCAGAAAACGTGTTTTTTATTTAATAATTTTGCACATAGGATGATGATAAGCAGAATGCAGTTATTTATAGATATTTTTCAAATATTTGTGATTTTTTGTCCTACATCAATAAAATAAATTAAAGTTTGGATTTGAAGTTTTCTTGACTTCTTCAAGGGCAATACGTTCTTTCTCCCTGATATTTCTGTATTTCTACTCAGTGAGATTTATCTATTTATATAGTGTCATGTTGATACCTTTCATAGTTCTCATGTTATATCCTGGACAAAGTTCAAAGTATTTAAATGAACAAAGGCAATAACTCCAAAATTAGGGAAGAAAGGTTAACGGTTCTTCCACACTGCACTTGTTACATCTATCTACCTGCACAGTTTCAAGTTGATACCTTTTATAGTTCTCAGGTAATTTCCAGGACAAAATTCAAAGTGTAAAAATTAACAAAGGGCAATAACTCCAAAATTTGTGATGAGAGGGTTATGGTTCTTATTCACTGGATTGCTCAGTAAGTTTATATGCCTACAATGTTTGTAGTTGATACCTTGTGATGTCCCGAACAAAGTTCAAAGTGTAAAAGTGAACAATTAGGGCAATAACTCCAATTTAAGGCAAGGAAGAGTTATGGTTCTTTTGCACCGCACTTTTCCTCAATGTGAGCTGTCTACCCACAAAGTTGCTTGTTTATAGACTGATGTCCCGGCCAAAGTTCAAATTGTAAAATAAACAAAGGACAACAACTCCTAAATAAGGGAAGGCAGAGTTACGGTTCATTTGCAGTGCACTCCTACTCAATGATTATATATAGTACCTACAAAGTTTCAAGTTGATACATCTTGTCGTGTCGTCCCGGAAAAAAGTTGAAGTGTTAAAATATGGGACAATATCTCCAAAATTAGGCAAAGCTGTGTTACGGTTCTTTTTGGACTGCTTTTCTACTCAATAAGATCTATCTACCTACACAATTTGAAATTGATATCAGGGTTCGACACTAACTGTTTTAACAAGGGATCCCATAGGAATCCCTGAGATTTAATTCAGGGATTCCTCCTAAATGTCAGGGATTCCTCAGATCAAAATAGTAAAATATGAAGGCGAAGAATAACAAGGGAGTGCAGCAATCCGATTTCAAATTCTTTTTTTAAAGATCACATACATGATATATTGCCTTGTTTCAGATGCAGAAAATGTAGTTTATCAGCCCTTTGGTTTTTTTTGTTTGCTTGGATTTTTACGGCACGTCAACACATAACTGGCCATATGAGCCCTTTGGAAATATTGCTGTTTAAAGTTATCATATATCTTGTAGTTTTAGAGCTATATCCCGGACAAGAAATCTGCAACGGGTCGACCGACCGACTGACCACCAGCTGACTCCAGTATACCCTCTTTAACTTCGTTTGTCTGAGGTATAATGAAAATAACATTTATAAGTAACAATTTGTAGAAAAAAATCCCACCTGTTGCTGGCTTCTCTACATTTCCTTGTGAATAGGGAATGGTTTTGGCGATGCACGACTGACGATTCAAGCTTATAACAAAAACCATTGCAAGGAAGATGTGATTTATTAACGAAGTCTTCATTTCTCCAGCGGATCATTTATAGCAAGTTTATCTTCTTTGTCAATTTAGATTCTGAAAAAGAGTTATAAGCTGTTTTTATTGTTGTATATATGAATATTAGATTATTATTTTAGATACACATTGTACATGGTATGGAAGTTCAAGTATCAAATGAAAAAGCATTTATAAAGAAATAAACATTTTTTTTTAATTGTCTAATATACATAAATGATAATAACAGTTCAAACTGCGATTGACATTACGTAACTTCGGTAATCCCAGTTTGTTTATATAAATAAGATTTCTACATTATTTTTACTTGATTTATTGGAGAAGGAAGAAATAAATTATAAACGAAACTGTTCTGTTTCAGTTCGTTTTGAAGACGCAAAAGTTAATTTCTTTTATGATTTCCTCCACGTAGGAGAGCCAATGTTAGTATTTTTACGATTGATTATTTTCTTTATTAGTTTTATCATGAAGCTAAATATAAGATTTTTCGGAAAAAAAATCCTTAATAAACCCTTTATGATATTCAACTAATTAAAAATAGTGATAATAAATTGACCCTCTATACCTGTAAAAACATAGGTACCTGGTTTTTTCTGGTATATAAGGTCAATTTATTTTATTTTTTTTCAATTTAAAAATTTATCATAAAGATTTGATCTAGGAGTTTTTAAAAAAAAATCATTTTTAAAGGGATGGGATGATGCCAAAACCCTTTTAAAAGGAAACTTTATTATAAAATATAACTAAAAAAAGTCAGTCCGTAGTTTACAATAAACATGGTCACTTAGGCGCTTGCAATATATTATGTAGGCATGCACATTAGTTTAAAATTATAAATAGACTTCCTTGGGCTCAATTTTAGTTAAAATTTTAAGTTATAAAAATGTACGTAACGGAAATATAAATATTCTACAATCTATTCTTTAAAAGGTGTCATCGTGAAATTAATATAATATAGCACGCTGTCAAAAGGCAAATACCCCACTATGTAAAGCCGAGGAAGTTTTATATTATTTATGATAAATGTGATTCATTCCGTAAAACAATGTTCACACACTATCCCAAAAAGTATTCCAAGCCCCATTTTCTAAATCATAAATACCTCCGAAGAATAACCCTCTTCCCGGGAAAACTTCCCTCAGAATAGCATAATAAAATGAGCTGCGTCACGACAAAACCAGCATAGAGCGTTTGCGACCAGCATGGATCCAGACCATCCTGCGCATCCGCGCAGTCTGTTCAGGATCCATGCTGGTCGCTTACAAACAAGTAGAGAAACTGGTAGCGAACAGCATGGATCCTGATCAGACTGCGCGGATGCGCAGACTGGTCTGGATCCATGCTGGTCGCAAACCTATTATGTTGGTTTTGTCGTGACGCGGCTCAAATATTGAAATAGTTTCGCTCTTTCTATATATAATCTTGTTATCCGCCCCCGTGTGAGATAATAATCCAGATTATATATATGGAAATGATTTTTTTTTCGTATGTTAATATTTATGCTACTGAAAAGGGAAGATTTCCCAGTAAGAGGGTTTCATCGGGGGAGGGGGAATGTCTAAAAAATACTTTCGTACAAATGAATAATATTTAATACAAGAAGGCAACTTCCCTGAGACGTTTGCGTATGCTTGTTAAACTGTGTAGACAATTCTCCCGGACATTTGCCTTTTGAACTCATACTATGTTATATGAAGTTCACGTATTTGAATACAATCATTTTTTAATAAGCTTCGGTTGTCGTCCTGGTAATTTAATGTTAACAGTACAATATCTATATCATTTAAATCAGTGATTAAAAAGTAATTATTATTCACATAATCTACTGTATTCCTTTTGTGGTCTACAAAAATGAAGAAAAAAACAACAAACAAACAAACGAAAATCACGCGCTTCCCTACTTTCATATTCACGTAAAATATTCATTTTAAAACCCAAATACATATTATTTATATTCATTTTAAAACCCAAATACATATTATTTATAGTTGCAAATAACAAATATCAAAAGCTTTTACGTAATAAATCTTTTTTCAATAATAATGTCAAAAACAGAATTTTAATATCATTTCTTTGAATGCCAATAGTGTAAAATATCTCTCTCTTATGAAATAACTTTGAAATCATTTCAAAGCAAAAAAAATATATTTAGATATTTATTGTAGATCTAAAACTTAAAAAATCATTTTCCCTTCTTTTAAAAAATGAATATCTACTGTACATTCAATAAAAAATCAACGTTCCTTTAAATAGATATTCTTTACTTCTGGCACCATTTTTCAGGACGGTTTCAAGTCAGGATTATAAAATATCTACAACGAATTTGTAAAATATAGAGAGAAATACAGTAAAGAACATTGTAACATTAAAAAAAATAATTATTTTTAAACTTTTACTTTAATAGATCTAATAAGCAAATAGAAATCTACATGTAGAACTATAAACAGAATAAATATTTCTTCGTGTACCTTTAATTCTGTCAATTTCTTTATCTCAATGTTTCAACTATCTTTATTTGTTATATTTTCTGTTATCTTTTCGTTACTTTTTATTTGTTTACATGACGTCAAAATGAAAAAGTAGGTTTTCCCGTAAAAACTGGGTTAATAGTGACGTCACGATATATATTAATAGTTAACAAAATGGCGGGATATTCTGTGCCTGGTATGAATTAACAAAACGAGGTTGAAAATTACATAAACCGTTTTTGTAGATTAAAAAAAAGTTCCCCTCGAGATATTTTTCAAAGATTTTTCCTCTAAAGTTTCTACTTTTCTTCTAAAAGCAAAGTTTGATTTCTCTACGCCAAATCTTTGTTGTTTATTTTCCGACGCCATTCATATGAAGACAGAAGATGAACAAGAGAAAGCACGTGTCATGTTTTTAAAATGTACTTGAGGTTCTCGGGGTCGTTTCATGTATATTTTACAAAGCTGGATCTACAAGATGTAACAGTTTAGTTGCGACGGACTCTATATGATGCAAAACTTCAAAAACGTGAATAATAAGCTACAAAAACATCAAGTCACATGGAGTAGAAATTGCACTTACTTTTATGTTTTAAGCGGAATAGAATCCCGTTGAATTTCGAAACAGATCTTTCTACGACAAATTCACATTCAGAAGATTCCTTCATTGCCAGTCTCCATCCAGTTTCGTAAATCCTATTTCTGACTTCTGAATGACAATGATGATGACTCCTAATCTTAGGAACTTTAATCCAGATGAAACATTGCTCCATATGCAAAGTTATATCTGTTAGCAAATGAAATATGTTAACGAAACAAATCATAATTCAGTATTCAAGAACTGCCCATCAGTTTCTGTTCTAAAATCACAATGTTTATTCTCGGAAATGGATTGAATGACGAAAACAATTTTGTTAACATATGACGTAACAAAATGTATTGCGCTTTTTATAGATAATTCCGCTTTCGGAATTGCACGGTCGGTGGCATAAAAGTGACATTTGCTTTGTTTTTGTTTTTCACTTGATTTATTTTTTTATAGATCTATATATTTTAGCGTCTTTGTTTTAGCGTTTTCGAAAAGTAGTAAATCTAACAGTGAACATTACTCAGTATATAGATTTCTAGATCTAGATACAATATCACCCTACACTATATTAGATCTGTATATAGATATGACCGAGTGAATCATGAACAGAATTTTGAAGCTTCTAGATCTATATAATTTTTGACCGATATGACTTGATCTAAATTACGCAACCTTTGGTACATTTTTTTTCAGGTAATATTGTGTTGGAGGCATGCAGCTGTGGTGGCACAGATGTCACATGTGTTTGTTTTTTATTTATCTCGTGCGCACGAGATACTATGTCATGGCCACGAGTTACTAAGTCATGGCGACAAGATAATTCAGTGGTGCGTACGAGATACTATGTCATGGCCACGAGTTACTAAGTCGTGGCCACGAGATAATTCAGTGGCGCGCACAAGATACTATGCCGTGGTCACGAGTTACTAAGTCGTGGCCACGAGATAATTTAGTGGTATGCACGAGAAACTATTTCGTGGCCACGAGATACTTTGTCGTGTTCTCTCGTGGAAACGAGTTACTTACAGTCGTGGCAATGAGATAATTCAGTTTTGCGCACGAGATACTATGTCGTGCCCAAGAATTACTAAGTCGTGGGAACGAGATAATTAAGTCGTGCGCACGAGATAATTGACAAATCAGATTAAACTATTTGTACAATTTTTCCTGGTTATCTAGACATGTGCTAAAGAACAATAATGCTCAAACTTCAACTCTGCCTGTCAAAGTGACATTTATAAAAAATTTTAATTGGATATTGATTTTACTTTTAGCGTTATTGTGATCCTGATCTTTTACCCAATGACCTCAAAAAAAATTACGTGTCATCTACTGAAATCTTTTAAGGTTATATACCTTTTAACAATACGATTTTTCCATAGCAACCTATGTTGCATTTCGCGCATGCGCATTCTGCGTAGGGCAAAAGCGCAATAACGATAGACTACATTTAGCGTACTTGAAGGCTATGAAAGACGCGATTATAGGTTATGTCACCCAGAAAACATATTTTTTTTTATGAATTAAAGCGGTCAGTACTTATAACGTGAATAGTTTTCAGTACCGGGACGTTTTAGTACCATGACATATTTAATCACATAAAATTATCGTAATTTAAGTTACTTTTTAATAATACCATCAATGTTTATTAATTTTGTGAAGTGACAATTAAATAGTGTACGTGGCGTGCATTTTAATGTTTTACGAGAAACCGGATAAATTGTGTGTTATTTCATAACCCATCTTAACCTATAAAGAGTTTGAAACATTATTTAAATGAATAATTTTAAAAATACACAAAAGACTTTTGTTCGTAAACTGAATATGTTTAATCTTGTATTAAGATATAACGTCAAGATAGGGTATTGTTTACCTTGCAAAGTACCGGGTCAATTAAATTACGATTGTATAATTGAAGTACTAGCATATCTATTTCAAAATTTACTGCTACCCATAGTATGATTTAAAAAGTTAACTTGGATCATTCATGCATGGATATTGCTAATGCTTTTAATTTCATTATACTACTGTCGTTATGAATAAGGTTGCACACACGTATTTTTTTATTCCCCAGATTAAACATTAAACCCCGATAGTCCTAGCAAATCATTTTATAATACCATGCTATCACTACACAGGCAACTGGTGGCCAACTGTTAATTGGAGCAATAGATTTCGGAACGTCATTTTCTGGTTGGGCATTCTCTTTTAAACATGAAAATGAAAGAAGTCCCCCAGGTGCAACCGTTAAAATTTGGAATGCAGGAACGATAACCACAGAGAAAACACCGACGTGTTTATTGCTGAAACCAGACGGAACATTTGATTCATTTGGCTACGACGCAGAGAAAAAATATGGGGAGCTATCAGCCCAACATCTACACCCAGAATACTTCTTCTTCAGACATTTTAAAATGAAGCTCTTTAAGCCGTTTGGAAAGGTATAAAATAAGTAATTGAAAAATAAGCTGATATTATTTTTGTGTTTAATTGCATATGTATTTGTATGGTACATGTTATATATTTGCATAAGATTTTGTATAATTATGTAAGTAAAAAAATACAACAATTAATTTAAAGTTACATTAAATAAATATGTTAAAATATTTTTGCCGTAGGCCTAAAAACCAAGCATTCTACAGATTCATTAACATTTTTAACAGTCTTGATGTAAATCTCAACAAATTTTGTTCATAAATAAGGATTTCAAACGGAAAACCCCACGGTAACACTAAAGTTCGTATACGAATTTTAACATGCAAATGAAGATTATAATCAGCTTGAGTATGCGCTACGTCACAGTGTTATAGCTGCTATCCGGGACACAACAAATATGAGATTTTCTTGTTCAAACACATTTTAACCGTTTAACGTCAAGGTGCACTAGACCTGAGGTTCAGTAAAAAGTAATAATCTCATAAAAAAAGATTAAATTTGTATAAAAACATCCGTTACAATGCAGAAATATACCGTTAAATTAGGACTGCTACTTATAGTCATGTTTGTTGATTTAATATTGATGTACGGGTGATCTGAAGGTGGAGTTTCTCATGCAAACAGATATTGTACTTCCGATTTCGCAACAATGAGGTTGTCCATTTTTTATGCTTATAAAACTCATTTTGGTTGTCTGGACACCAAAATAAGATCTGGAGTTGATATAAAACTCAATTTATTAATGCAATGTCGCTATTTCAGTTTTTATGAAATTTATTAAATGTAACTTTAATGTTACAGATTTAATGCAAACAACCGTTAGAAAAAGTCATAATACTACTAAATGTATTGTTCCCTTCTTACCAGGGTATTAAAAGGGATATGATGATACTTGATGAGATTGGCAAGCAATTTCTAGCGGTAGATGTGTTTGCAATATCGTTGAAATATTTGCATTGTTGAGGATATGATGAAAATTGTTAACAAGCGACTAGTCGGCAAATTGAACCCCACTGATATCGGACGGGTAATAACAGTTCCTACAATATGGTCGGATGCATCAAAGCAGTTTATTAGGGAGGCAGCGATAAAAGTTTGTATCTTAATTTAACTAAAATAAAAACGCCGACATAAGGAAACAATCTCAAGTGTCATTTTCGAATGACGTAAAAAGACGTTAACATTGTAAACTACGTTTAAAAGTGAATAACCCTTGACTCGTTAAAATAAATTGAAAAGGTAACGATAAGCAAATTTCAGAAGTTTTATATCTCTTTCATGAGTTTAAGAGTTGAATGTCTTTAACATTTTAAAATGTCATTTCGAAAATTTGTGAATGGTGTCAAATTTTGTTTTCTCACGGCGACATTCTTATCAAAGTTTCTTTGAAATAAGCCACTCTGTTCTACAGGGTGTACAGATCAGTTTGATGTTAAAATTTGTACCTTCCTTTTATACGTATTGCAATCAATATCATTTAATATTTTTTTGAAATCTTCTCTGTGTATGAAGGTCTAGTAATCAGCAAATGTGTCATACCTGGTTCATTTACATAAAGTTTTTATCAAGTTACAATCTAAAATGCCAAATCCTGCATTAGGAATGGCTTTATGTAGAATCACATGTATTTCATATTCTTACACCAAAATATTTGTTTATGTAAGCATTTTACTTCTTTCTATTTGTTACAGACTGGCATTGACAATGACCAGCTTAGAATTGCTCTGGAACCCGAAGCTGCTTCAATATATTGCCGCCATTCACCAGTAGATGCATCGACAAGTGAGACTGAACTAGCAATATCAAATCTTCCCATTGGTACCAAATATATGGTTTTAGACACAGGAGGTATTAAAAGTTTTAATACACTTTTTATAACACACAGTAACACATTCAATGTGACACTTTACCAATCAATGAGTAAACGTCGACTGTTCAGGTACAATTCAAAATAACTTTTATAAAAGTAGAGCAGTTTTTTTATATGTTACGCAGTTTAATTATTATATCCTTAATAAAAGTCATTATCATTTATTGGCAATTGACCATCATAATAGCAAATCTTTTTAAATATGTAAGTATTTTTGCTCCTTTTGACAATAAAAAGCAATATGTTACTTTAATGATTAAAAGTGTATGGAAACAAATTTCTACTTTTTTCTAAGCAGCGGCTTTCAAAGCATTCTAAATCAATATAGTATTTGAATATATCTATTAGCTACATCATGGACCTTTGAATCGTCTTTTTTCTAGAATTAAACGTTATATGCATTTCTAAATAATTAACTAAAATATAGCTCTAACCAGCTGTTGAAAATGTATATCTATATTTATTCATATTAAGGTGGCACAATCGATATAACAGTACACGAGGTACAATAATCTAACACGCTAAGGGAAGTCAGAGCAGCGAATGGTGGTGCTTGGGGTGGAACTATGGTGAACAAAGCATTTGAGGATTTCTTAAAGGAAATTGTTGGTGATACAGTATTCGAGTCTTTCAAAATGAAAGAAACTGAAGATTGGCTTTATATGGCACTTCAATTTGAATCAAAGAAAAGAGAGATCGAAATCAAATCACCGAGGTATATCACCTTACGTTTACCCTTTTCTCTGATTGATTTATGTGAAAAGGTAAATGGAATCCAGATTCAGGATGCAGTTGCTGCCTCAAAGTATGCTGAAATAATAGAGATAGTCGGTGATAAACTTAAACTCTCAAAAGTTTTTTTTTTCTATATGTTTGGACAAACATTACAAAGAACAGTTGATCATGTAAAGTCTTTATTTAGAGAAAAAAACATAAAAGAAGTTGGTATCATTCTTATGATTGGTGGGTTTTCAGAATCGAGATTGCTGCAACAAGCTTTAAAAGAAGCATTCCCGAATAAAGAAATTGTCGTTCCATTAAACCCTTCATCGTGTGTACTTAGAGGTGCCTTAATATATGGCCATACACCTTTGACGATTAATAGCAGAATTCTTAAGTATACATACGGCACAGAATCAAATACAAAATTTAAAGAAGGTTATCTCCCAGATCAAAAGAAAATGAATTCGGATGCCGGCATTAGGTGTAAAGATATCTTTGCAATATTTGTTGGGAAAAATACCGTAGTTAAAGCAAAAGATACGTACTTCAAAAAACAATTTACGACACTTAGAAAGTATCAAAAAGCAATGAGTATAAGATGTTTCCTATCAGAGAAGACTAATCCAAGATATGTTAATGAAGATGGATGTTTAAAAATAGGAAAAATTAGAATAAATCTTGACAATCCGGACGAAAGTTTAGACCGCACAGTTAGTGTCTATATGGTGTTTGGTGATACAGAAATCACGGTGGATGCAGAGGATGAAAGAACCGGGAATAAAACAAGAGCAGTTATTGATTTTCTAGGATAAGGCCGAGATGTAATTAAAGGAATGATTCATCAATCGTTTAAACCTAAAGCAAGGAAAATGTATATATAAGAATATGTATTTGATTTTATAGGCTTTCAAAAAAAAGTTTATTCATAAAATTAAATTTATTGCATTTTTTTTGACCTGACAGGCTTAAGTTATGTACACCGCGAAAACTACGTCTTTTCATAACTCTAATTAGTTAAACTTACCTAAAAATAATGATAAACATATACTCAAAACTAAATTATAGAATAATTATAATTAATTAATTATATTAACATAAAAATATATATACAGATATTTTGCTGTAATCAAATATCTAATTTCAATGTAAATTTCTTTAAGATATCGAGTTTTAATGAATAACTTTGAAAATCAAATGCCATTTTACAATAAATTGGTAATCCGTTAAAAATATTTAAACTTGGAGATGTTAACTATTTAATAAATTTTAACATACTAAGGCGTGTATGAAAATCTTTGAAATGAATTGTATCCTCGCTGTAGTAAAAGCATTACACTGATATAGTTGGCAGTTCTTATAATTTCTATCAATGTTTCCAAATCTACCAGTTTCAATAAAAAGTTCGTGAAACGAAAAAACTTATTAAGCAAGTTAGAGTAGATCTTTAACATGGATATTTCATCTTTTAAGTTATTTATCAATATATATATAGCTGACAATTTCGGGTTCGGATTACCAACTCGTTGATTTGTTTGTTTGTTTGTTTCATTTTATGCCTTTTCCCAACAGTATTTCAGTCATATAGGAGGGTAGTTTCCTAACCATCGTTCCTGGAGAGTTGCACCAGTACTAGACTACCTTTCTCCGTGCTAAACTACCAAAGCATCTCCCGGGGATCGAACCCACGCCAGAGAGGTTACTGGATTAGAAGTCATCGACTCTAACCCCTCGACCACGGAGGCGGTTACCATTCGTTGAAATATTAAAAAGGAAACAAAATGTCTAAATTAAGTATGAACAACGGTTAAAAGGAAACTGTGAAAATTTAAAGCTTCTTGCGTTTTTTTATAGTATCAAAACCCAAGTATCTCTAATGATCCAAGGATAGCACAAAACATCCTGTCATCATAAGGACTGAATACACACTGTACTTTATACCCTTGGCTTAAAACATAACATAATGTGTATCATGAAATTCTTGAAATTAATGAAAGGGGACGAAATACGTAGACTCGAAAATCAGGATACAAGACTGACTTTGTTTCCAAATCACTTTGTTTCCAGATTTTTACGCTTCACAACAGCAGTTGTTACATACTGGTCCTTCGGGATCATTGATGCCAGCACTATTAAGTGTTGATAATTGAGTAAATCAAGCCGGTGCTAGGGGGCGTGAGGGATGTTGCACTTATTCATTATCCCTCATGTACAGACTCAATCAAACCGAGTCTGCAACTTTCATATAATTATGTTGTGGTTAATGCTTCCGAGGGATCACTTTGTTACCAGATTTTTACAACTTTTCTCTACCTATGTTGTGCTTTGTTTCAAAGATCTTACATTTCATAATGGTGATACATTTTCTCCCTGCAGGGTATATTGTTAATCTCAATCAGCTATCAAGTTTACTATGCGTAAGGAGAATCATTGTTTAATCATTGTTTAAAACAGTAAGACTAATGAGCAGATTTTACGTTCATAAAATGTACACTTTGCAAAATTAATCATCGAACTTTAATTCATATTGTAATTATATCATATAAGTCAAAGAAAAGTTTATTTCGCTGTCGTACGAGCACAATATTTTGTTTATTTTCTCATCTCACCTTTAATGAAAAACTACCTTATTAGTATGACATCGCAAGTGTGTTGGGAATTAACTAATTAAATTAAATTGTTAAAACGCAATCATGGTCATTTTATATCCCATGCAAAATGCAACGGCACATTGTTGCATTGTAATATTTGTAATATTTTTCA